ACTAGATCTGGTTTAGTGAACACAATCTCTCCCTTTTTCCCTTTCTCTTTCATCTTCCTTTCCTTTATGCCTTTTGCAAACCCAACAGCCGTTGGGGCCTGGGGTCAATTTTGAACCCAGCAGCCACTTGGTTCCATTTCGAACCCAACACAGATTTGGGTTTGGTGAATCCCATTCCTCTCTTCCTTTTTCCCTTTCTCTTTCATCTTCCTTTCCTTTATGCCTTCTAGAAACCCAATAGCTGTTGGGGTTGATTTCGAACCCAACAACTTTTCAAATCCAACACAGATCTGGGTTCGGTGAACCCCATTTCTCTCCCTTTTTCCCTTTTTCTTTCATCCTCCTTTACTTTATGCCTTCTGCAAACCCAATAGCCGTTGGGGCCAATTTCAAACCTAGTAGCCACTAGGTTCCTGCTAGGTTGATGGAGCCCAGCAGGTGCTAGGTTCGAAATAGAATAGGTGCTGGGTCTGATTTCGAACCCAATAGCTGCTGGGTTCGATTTCAAACCCAGCACCTGCTAGGTTGGTGGATCTACTGATTTTTTGGGGATGTTCGATTAGCACACGTTGGGTTGGAAAGATGCTTTAGTTGTGTTTTTTTTGTAGAAATTTGGGAGAAGATGCTTGACTTTTATGGGTTTTTGGGAGGCTGAGAGAAAGAATCTGGGTTTATGTTTGTGTTATCAGCAGGGGCTGGGTTCGAAAGGTGCTTTAGTTTTTGTTTTTGTAGAAATTTGGGAGGAGATGTCTTGATTTTTCTGGGTGGTTGAGAGAAAGAATTGGGTTTATATTTGTGTTATCTCTGGATTTAATATTAGAAGGTGTTAGGGTTTGCAAAAGGTGAAAGGAAAGGAAGAGGAAGAAGAAAGGAAAAAAGGAAAAACAAAGGAAGAAAAAAAAATGGAAAAGGAAATTTTTTAAGGTATTATCTTGCCATGCCATTGTCTTTTTGCCATGCTGTACATCTTATGTGTCAAAATACTTTTCCATGTCATCTTTTTTCGTCAAGTAACAAGACACATAGGTAGATATTTAACGGAAGGACCAAGTTGGGATAAAAATGGTAAACAGTGAGGACCAAATCAGGGATTTTTTGAGTTGAGAGACCAAATGGGATTTTAACCTTGATTCTTCCTATTTCTAGTTTTCTACTAGGATCACGTCTTATTTAGTTTTGTTTGGATAAATTTTTAAGTGGATGTGGAGCCAGATCTGCCTATGGTGCGGTGGCTGCTTTTAATAATTTCTACCAAGCAATGGATTCTTATGAAGATTTGCAAAATTGATGCAATGAAAAGGTTAGTGAGAAAGCAACCTTAAAGTTAACTTTTGTATGATTGCATCAATGCCTGCAAGTAAGGATTATTCGCATGAGCTCATTTGTATTGAAATAGTGATAAAGATTTCTTTGATTGGTTTCTTAATTTGATTGTGTGGTAGGGAAATGGAGGGCGAGGGAGCATGGAGGCATAAAACTCTAGCAGAATTGAAGCTTCAGATGATGCTTTAATTAATGCTTTAGTTTAGCAATTTAATTTTCTCATTTAAAAAATGATATATTACTGGTTAATGAGTTAATGTTTATCAAATTACTAAGTTTTGAATATTATATACTTTTGTTTTAAATTGTAATGTCAATTTTATTCACATCTAAATTTTTAGTAGATTATTTAATGTTTTGTTCAATAGTGCAAAATAAAATAATTAATATTAAAATTTTATAATAGCAATATTAAATAAAAAACGAAAAGGATAAATTCCAGCGTTTTAAAACGCTGGCATTGCCCACACACCATGTTATTCCTGGTGGTGAAAAAATCAGCTTTTTCGGTACCCTATCACAGCCTTCCTATAAAAGCTACCTTTGGGTACGCTATTTCAGCATTTCTTAAAATGCTATTTGGTACAAAGCGCGACGGCGGTGTAGACGGCGTCTCATCTATGTTTCAAGAAACGCTGGAACATTTTAATACAACGTTTAAAAATGCCTTCTTTTAGTGAAAAAAACGCTAGTTTTTCCCTCATTTCTTATAGTGTTAATGGGTAGTAGTTAATGGGTAGTAGGAGTTATAAGAATTAAACAGTCACGAGAAGTTACAGGGATTAATTATCTATAAATGGAGAGATTACAAGTTAAGTCATTATTATAATTTTAATTACATTAGAAAGTAATGTATTAATCCTCTAAATAAGAGTTAATCACTATGAGAAAGTGGGGGGAGTTACTCAGCATCATCTTAAGCACGTAAATCCGTGAGTAAGTGGGGAGATGAAAGGTGAGAAAAAGAAAAAGAAAAAAAAAGTAAAACATTCATAATAATTTGATTTATAATAGTTTAAGACTTAATTTTATTTTGATGTTATTTCCTATTTAAAAAATAAAAAGTGACGTGGCCCAATAAATAAGCAGCTTCTGGTCAGTGTCCTGTCCGTAACACTGCTCTTTTAAAAAAGGCCGCCCTC